GGAATTAACTATTTTAGCAAGATTGCTGCTTAAGAAGTTAATAAAAATAAATAAATCAATATATACATACATATGTACACATACATACACACAAAAACTATATTATACATATATATGTATGTATATTTCTTTTATACCAGGAACAAGGAGTAATTACAGTTTTCAAAAATATTCTCTTTAAGAATCAAGATGACGACATAGGTAAACACCTGTACTCACCGCCTCCCACAACCACATCAAAATTACAACTGAAATACAGAATAACCATCATCCAGAACCACCTGAAAGCTGGCTGAATAAATCCCTACAACTAGAGAAGTAAAGGAGAAAGCACACTGAAACCGGTAGAAGGGACAGAGGCGCTAAACCAGTGACACTTTTTTAATCTGGAGGGAGATTGTCTCTACAAAGCAGAGGATTAGGGATTGGGGCTCAGTTACAAGGAGGCTGCTGGTGACCCAGCTGTTCCTCTTAAAAGGCCACCACACCAACTGAACTTACAAGGTTCCACTTCCTCTTAGCTCCAGTGCTAGGGCGAGGCTCTGGGGGACCCAGAGACATAGGAGAACCAGACCAAGGTGCTTGCAGGGGTTTTTGTTCCTATGCTGGGACCTCCCAGGTCAGCAGGGCTGACTGGCAGCCATTTCTATTTGCTCCACCCTGGTGATTCCCTGAGACCCCGCCCTATCCAATTTGCAGCCCCACCCAAACTGTGTGCAGCTGCTTTTGCATACGAATGAACTGTCCCTGCTCAGGCTTCAGACTTTGCTAAAATCTTTCAAATCTCTCAAGGTGCCCCAAACCTATCAATAAAAGGCCCAAGACACAGCACTAGCACCAGCCTGCCTTGCTTCACAGCTGGGCCTTACCTGGGCACTTCCAAACCCAATACAAATAGGAGGAATCTGCATATCTCCTGTAGCTCCTGCCAGGTGGCCTAAGGCAGTGGCTGACTTTGCACCTCCCTGGAGACCTAACAGCCAGTGGTCATCATCAGACCATACCAAATTACAGCTCTACACATCCATAAGCGACACACTCAAGGGGCAGACTCAGTGAGCACCAAAGCCCCAATGAAGCACATCCTGCTCCATAGGGGTATATCCTACACAGCAGCTTTCCCACTGTAGTCGCAGCTGGTCCTCACAGCCAATTGGCCTGGAGGTCAATTCCTCCCAGTGACACCAACAGCAATCAAGTCTCAACTACAACAAGACTGTACACACAGACCACAAAGGGGTGCAGAGTGCCCAACTCCGGTAACTGGGGAGGCTATAAGCCACTGGGCCCCATAGGACATCTACTACACAAAGCCACTCTACTACAGGAGACACAGTAGCTCTACCCATTACATAGAAACATAGGAAAGTAGCCAAAATTCAGAGAGAAAAAAAACATGTCACAAATGCAAGAAATGGAAGAGAGCAAACTGCTAGATACAGAGTTCCAAACCACGGTTATAAAGTTACTCAAGAATCTTCATGAGACCTTCAAGGGACTTAGTGAGACTTTCCAGGATCTTAGTGAGAATGCCAAAGACATGGAAAAGGACCAGTCAGAAATTAAGCATACACTGACTGAAGAATAATATACAGGGATTCAACAGTAGACAGAGAATTCTGAGAAACTAATCAATGATATGAAATATGAGGAAGCAAAAAAACATCCAATTAGAAGAGCAAAAAGAAAAAAGAATCCAAAAATATGAAAATAGTGTAAGGAGCCTCTGGGACTTCAAGCATACCAATATTCTCATTATGGGGGTGCCAGAAGAAGAGCAAGGGCAAGATATTGAAAATCTATCTGAAGAAATAATGACAGAAAACTATTCCATTTGGTGAAAGAAATAGACTTACAAGTCCAGGAAGCACAGAGTTCCAAACAAGAGGAACCCAAAGAGGGCCACACCAAGACGCATCATAATTAAAATGCTAAGGGCTAAAAGACAAAGAGAGAATCTTAAAAGCAGCAAGAGAAAAGCAATTAGTTACCTACAAGGGAACACTAATTTCTCAACAGAAACTGCATGCCAGAAGGGAGAGGCAAGAAATATTCAAAGTGATGAATAGCAAGGACCTGCAACCAAGATTACTCTACCCCGCAAAGCTATCATTTAGAATTGAACATCAGATAAAAAGCTTCACAGACAAGAAAAGCTAAAGGAATTCATCACCACTAAACCAGTATTACATGAAATGTTGAAGGGTATTCTTTATGAAGAGGAAGAAGGAAAAGAAAAAGATCAAAAATATAAATAGAATGGCAATAAATACATATCAGCAACTGAATCTAAAAATCAAAATAAATGGGTAAGAAATCTAATGAACAGAATAGAATCAGAGGCATGGAAATGGAAAAGACTAACAATTCTCAGAGGGAAGAGGGGTGGGGAGGGCAGGAAGAGATTAAACAAAGATCTTACATGCATTACCTATGGACACAGACAATAGGGTGGCAAAGGCCTGGGGTGGGGCTGGAACCAGGAGGAGAAGGGGGGTGTGGGGAGGGACATCTATAATACTCTCAACAAATACAGATTTAAAATATATATATACATATATACACACATATGTATATATTCTCTTTACAACATCAAGAAATAGCATATGCCTAGGAATAATCTAAGACATATGACACCTCTACATAGAAACAGAAATTATGAAAAATATTAAAGAAGATGTTAATAAAAACACATTTGTCACAGTTATAGATTAGAAGACTCGTATTACAAAAATGACAGTTTTCCCCAAAGTGATCTACAAATTCAATGCAAACAAAAAAGTTTATGTACAAACTTTAGGCTCTGCTTCCAAATGCAAAGGTCTAAGAACAGATAAAACATTCTTTAATAATGACCGAGAATGGGGATGTAATGTACGGTGACTATAGTTAATAATGTTGTATTTTGTATCAGAAAGTAGCCAAGAGAATAGTTCTTAAAAGTTCTCATTACAAGAAAAATAAACTTAACTATGAATGATGTCAGATGTTAACTAGACTTTCTATGGTTATCATTTTACAATATATACAAATATCAAATCATTATGTTGTACACCTAAATTAATATGATGTTATATGTCAATTATACCTCAATTTTAAAAAAATGACAGGGAGATAGAAATTGCTTTACAAGATAGCAACCCTGCTCATAAAGCTCCAGAAATTAAGGTGGTATACAAATAACACAAGATTAAGCAATAGACTAATGGAATAAACTAGAAATCCCAGAGCCATGCACATACAGGTTCCTAACTTATGGTAAAAATGATACTGTAGAAAAAAAGGAGAAACACTGCCGTTGCTATAGTGTTAGGACCAGTGGTTGTCTATATCAAAAAGAAAATGAATCTTGATCCTTTACCCACGCCATACATAAAATAATTCCAGCTGACATATAGATTAAAATGTGAAAGTAAAACAATCAAACTTCTAGAACACAGAAAAATCTCATGATCTCAAGGTAAGAAACACTTTTCCAACCATAAATAAAACATTAAACCATAAAACTTTTTTTTATAAATTACAGTTTGATGGATAACTCTTAAAAGAGACAAGAGAATAAAAATCAGACTACAGAGTGGAAGATATAACAATACATAGATGTCACACAAAAGTCTAATATCCAAAACATAAAAAGAAATCTCCACCTATCAATAGGAAACAGACAGGAGAAACCAAGATGGTGGCATAGGTAAACACCTGAAATTGCTATCATTCAGAATTGAAGGTCAGATAAAGAGCTTCACAGACAAGAAAAAGCTAAAGGAGTTCATCACCACCAAACCAGTATTATATGAAATGCTAAAAGGCATTCTTTAAGAAGAAGAAGAAGAAGAAAAAGTAAAGATAAAAATTATGAACGACAAATACATATCTATCAACAAGTGAATCTAAAAATCAAGTGAATAAAAAATCTGAACAGAATAAACTGGTGAATATAATAGAATCAGGGGCATAGAAAGGGAGTGGACTGACAATTCTCTGGGGGAAAGGGGTGTGGGGGAATGCGGGAAGAGACTGGACAAAAATCGTACACCTA